CGGACGGAGGGGAAGAAGAGGAATTCAGTTAAGAGAGGAGGGCCTGGGGGGGGAGGTGGGGCGGGTTGAAAGGGGAATGATATAGAAAGCAGAAGAGGGGTAAGAGGTGGAGACAGGCCGCGGGGGAGGAGGGCGGGGGAACCGAAGGGAATGAGGCGGACGAGGACACGTAGGGTTTGACGTCGAAGGGTATAGGATTTCTTCCTGGGAATACAACGCACGGTCATTATAGCTGTGTATTTACACTGAAAGAAACGCCAAGTACAAGGAAAGGCCCATTTGTAGATATGCTTTGTCTGTTGAAAAAGCATTCGCGTGTGGCGTGGCTCGCCAGAGTTGAAAAATTTGGTCATTCGGGGGAAGAAGGTAGCTGCTTCATTTTGCCGTGATTGAAAAATATGAGAAAAAAAAGCCACGTCAGGCTTGTGCGAAACTGAGGCAATCCAGGAGGAGGATGTAAACAGGACGGAGATTGAACTTATACAAGAAAAGAATGTAATTGGAGTGAGGCCGATTTCAATTTAAGCGTTCCAATGAAAAAAATGGAATTTTTTTGTTTGTTTTTGGAACGAAAATTAAAGTAATTGACAGCTAGCGTATGCTTCTCCCTTCCTTTGACGGGTGGGTGAAAAGTTGGTGGAGGAAAAAAATAAAGGCTGCTGGCAGTTTTGCTTTTCGAGCGATGGCGGCAATAGCGCCATTCGAATTAGCGATGTAATAATGTTGGTAGTACTTGGTACTTGAAAAAGAAAAATAACATTGACAATGGGGAATAATTAGTGATCGGAAATGCAAAAGTCATAGAAAAAGAAGTGAGTTGGAAAAAAGTAGTAATAAAAAAATAAGTGATTTGGAAAAAACGTTTTCCCGATGGTTCTCCGCAGCGTTTGGGAGCTCGTGCCGGGTGTGCTGTGAAGAGAGAGCGAATAGTTTTTTTTTTTTTTTTTTGGTATCACAGGTAGTAGTTTTAATTTGACTTTTATCGTTTTTTTTTGACGTGGGCTGGGACAGATAGTACGTAATTTGGTAAGTACTCTTTTTTAAGGCTTTTAGGTTCCTTAAAAGAATTCGGTAATATTGTTAATTAATTAACAATTTCCGCATTTTAATAGATAGAAACAATCGTTTCCGCAAATGGAATGAACGCAAAGTAAAGTTCGCGCGCTCGTCTTCGGCTCCCATTCTGTTGCGCTCGCCGCTCCCCGCTTTCCGCTCCTCGCCCTCCCCGCCTTCCCCGCCTGCTCCCCGACTTCTGCCCGCGAAAGGTACAAAAGAATAGAAGGAAAGAAAAAGATAAGAGAAAAACCGCCTGTTGTCTTATTTGATCCACGTCACGAATGACGACTTGAGTCGTCGTACATAGTCGTTTTACTTTCGCGGATTTTTTCATTTTCTTTTGGTTTTCTTTGTTCCTGGAATTGGCCTTTTTATCTCTTTTACCCCCTGTGTGGATGTCGATACTTTTTCTATCAGGTCTTATCTCGATCCCAATTCTGATCCCGATCCCAATCCCGATCTTAATCCCGATCTCAAGTCGTTAAGTATTCGGACGAGTAGATGTGTACTGAAGAGAAGGTTCACACAGACTTTGTAAAGTGACCTGAAAAGGAAGTGCTGCCAGATGATGAAAGAACATATAAAAAGTATGTCGCCGCCGGGATCTCTTCTCCGCGTTTGGGTCGCGCCGCCATATTAGGTGTAATTGCATTATTAATTAATTAATTAATTAATACACGAGTTTTTTTGGAACAACTTCGAGTATGCGATGTGGTAGTGATCGGTCAGATACAACAGAATGAAAAGGAGACTAATTAATACGATAAAATAAAAAGCATAGTAATTAATAAAATGAAATAGAAAGCATATTAATTAATGAACAAAGCATATGAATTACAGTAATGCAACAAAAAGCATATTAATTAAGTAATAAGAATAAAAAAATAAAACGCATATTGAATAATACTATTGTTGAAAGTAGCAGAGGAATAAAATGAAAAGCACATGAAATAATTTCACATTGCGTATGGTGCACTCGTTTTCCTTGCGTTTTCTTTTTTCGCTGCCTGCTCCACTTTGAATTAACGCAAAAAAAAACTTTGAATTAACGAGAAACAAAAGAAAAGAAAGTGCGCATTGTTTTATGTGCCCCGTTTTCTTTTTTTTTCTGTTTAAATGTGCTCCCCGTTTTTTTTTATCCGTCCCCTTCTTTTTTTTTTGTTTTTTTTGGTGTGTTTTCTCCCGTCTTCTGTTGTTCTTGATCCCGTTAGAAAGAGCACACCAATCCGTTTGGTTCC